AAGGTCCATGTGCTCTCGTTGTTCTCCTACCCAATAGCATGGTCTTCAGGAGTTAGCTCGGAAATAAAGTCAGCCAGTACTTGAGCTTTGATGGTGGTCCTGGGGGAGTACTGAATGTCGAATTCGCCGAGCTCGACCGACCACCGCAGCATCCGACCCAATGCGTCGAAGTTGGAAAGGATTTGTCGCAATGGTTGGTCGGTGATCACTTTGATTGTGTGAGCTTGGAAATAGGGCCGCAGCTTTCGAGCCGTCTTCATTAGCGCGAGGGTCAGCTTCTCGATCGGGGGGTACCGCGCCTCGGGCCTGACGAGGACGTGGCTGACGTAGTAAACGGGTTGTTGCGTTGATGGCGTTTTCCGAACTAACACCGAGCTGACAGCCTGCGTTGAGGCCGCCAGGTAGTGACCAAGGGTTTCGCCTGGCTCAGGTGAGGCGAGTCGGGGCAAGCGGGTGAGGCACGCCTTCAACTTTTCGAATGCTTCTTCGCATTCCGGGGTCCACGTAAAGCTGTCGGCCTATCGCAGAGCCCGGAAGAAAGGGAGGCACTTGTCGCCCGAACGTAACACGAACCTGCTGAGTGTTGCCAACTTCCCGGTGAGTTGTTGCACCTCCTTAATCGAGCGGGGGAAATGCATCTCAGTTATGGCCCGAACCTTTTCCGAGTTGGCATTTATCCCGCTATGGTGAATGATAAAGCCGAGGAACCTCCTCGAGCTGACCCCAAAGAGGCACTTCGCGAGATTCAGACGCATGTTAAATCGTCTGAGTATTTGGAATGTTTCCACCAGGTCGGTCAAGTGCGCGCTTGCAGCCTTGCTCTTTATGATCATGTCGTCCACGTATACTTCCATGTTCCTCCCGAGTTGGTGCTTGAACAGCTTGTCGACCATCCTTTGATAAGTCGCGCCCGCGTTCTTCAGATCGAAGGGCATCACTTTTGTAGCAATACACCCCTCTATTGGTGATGAAAGCGGTGCTCTCGTGATCTTGAGTCGCCATCCAGATTTGGTTGTAGCCCGAGAATGCATCCATGAACGTAAGGAGTTCATAGCCCCCGGTGGCATCGACTAGTTGGTCAATCCTGGGAAGTGGATAACAATCCTTGGGGCATGCCTGGTTGAGATTGGTGCAATCAACGCACATCTTTCAGCTTCCATTGGATTTCTTAATAAGAACTACATTCGATAGCCACCGAGGGTATTTCACCTCGGTAATGAATCCCACTTCTTTAAAGTGGTCGACCTCGTCGTTAATCGCCTTCTGTCGGTCGGGAGCGAACTTCCTTGGTCTTTGCCTCACCGGCCGAGCCTCGGGGTCGACTTTGAGCTGGTGCTGAGTCACCCCCGGGTCAATCCTGGGCATCTCCTTAGGGGACCATGCGAACATATCGGCGTTTTTCCTCAGGAAATCGATGAGGTGGAGCTGATCTGCTTCGAGGAGCATCATCCCAACTTTCACGGTCAGATCGGGCCGGTTCTTTTTCAGGGGTACCTCGGTGAGCTGCTCGAGGGGTTCCAACTGCTTTGGCGCTATGGGTCCCTCGCGGGGGTCGGGGACTTGACGGGGGCATGACTTCCCCGGGAGAGTAACCGTCGTAAGATAGCATCGCCTTGACTCTCCCAGATCACTTCGGGATTCCCCGATCCCCACTGAAGTCGGAAACTTGATGGCCTGGTGGTAGGTGGATACCACCGCCTTTAACTTGTTGAGCGTCGGTCGGCCGAGGATGACGTTGTAGGCCGAGGGCAGATCGACTACCATGTAGGTAGTCATTATCATCTTTGCTCTCGGCTCTTCCCCGATGGTGACAGGGAGGATGGTGGTCCCGAGCGGGGAGATGGAATCCCCTGTGAATCCAGTGAGTGCCGACGCCATGGGGGTGAGGTCCTCCTTGGTCAAACCGAGCTTCTTGAAGGCATCGAGGTACAGGATGTCGACAGAACTCCCGGTGTCGACCATCACCCTTTTGACCTGAGCGTTGGCGATCCGAATGGAGATCACCAAAGCATCGTCATGATGGGAGCGCTCGACCTCTTTGGCTCCGAAAGTGATTTCAGGCTCGAGCTCGGGTCGAGGACGTTTCTCGACCGCTCTCCGGTCGTAGGCCTTCCTCGCCGTTGAGCTGCTGTCGCCGGCTGCTGGTCCTCCGAAGATGACGTCGATTTGTCTTTTAATGGGTCCCCTAGGGCATGGAGTCGCTTCCTGGGGTTCCTTAAGATAGCGCCCGAGGTGACCTCTCTGGATCAATTCCTCGATTTGATTCTGGAGGTCGCGACAGTCTTCCCTGTCGTGGCCATAGTCCCAGTGGAACCTACAATATTTGGACCGATCTTTGTGAGTAGCTTTCATGGGGTTGGGTTGTCGCAAGAGACCCTTCTCCCTGATTTAGAGGAAGATCTCGGTACGAGATGTGTTTAGAGGGAGAGACGAGGGCCTCGGGAGCAGTAGCTCTTGTCGGTTGGGCCTCCGGCGGGGTTGCATCGGGGCTGTTGAGGTCGTTCCCTGGGATTGTTCCGCCCTTGGCCTCTTCCCGTCCATGCGCTTTCCCGCTACCAGAGCTTCGGCAGCGATGTACTGGTTGGCGTGCTGGAGCATCTCGGGGATAGTTACTGGCGGCTTCTCGATCAGCGGCCAGAAGAACCTTGAAGGCTTCAAGCCCATGAGAAACGCCTGCATGATTAAAGAAAGGGTGAGCGTCCGAGAATCCCCGGATTTCAGAGGCGAAACTTGCCACAACCTAAGAGAGCGGCTCGTCTTCGCGCTGGGATAACGCAAGTAAGGTGGCCATGGAAGGCCGGGGTCGCACGCTAGCGAGGAAATTCTGCTCGAACTCCCTGGCGAGGTGATCGAAAGACGAGACCGAGGACGGGCGTAGCCGGCTGAACCACACTCATGTCGGTCCCCTGAAGGTGGTCGGGAATGCCCGACACATCAGCGCATCAGAGGTGTCATAGAGGGCCATCTGCGCCTGAAACGCGGCGATGTGCTCTGTGGGATCAGAGCCGTCGTCGTACGTCTCCAATGCCGGCAGTCTGAAGTTGAGGGGTACCGACTTGTTCTGTACTTCCTGAGCAAAGGGGGATCCGCCCGAGCTACCTTCGTTCGACTCGCTCTGCGACTTCTGGAACTCGTCCAAGCATTGGTTGACCCGGGACAGCTGGATCCTGAACGAGTCGTCTGCCAAGTCGGATGATATGGTGTCAGGCTCGGAGCGGGGCGGTGTGATTTGGCAGGGTGCGGGTATGCTCTGCTCGGGCAGATCTCTCGGGTCCGTCGTCTGCTCTCGGGCTTCTCCCATCCTGACCTGCTCCCTGCTCGGCCTTTGCCGGGTCAGGTCAGTCGGGGGAGCTGCTAGCCGCACGATCTGGGGAATGAGTGGGACGAGCGTCTGCATCATCCCCGCCATTGCTTGCACTTACTTGGTCAGGTTAAGGAACGCCTCGGACGACACGGCCGAGGGTCCTGTTGTAAGTCCGAGGGGCGACAACCCCGAGTCGTTGAACAGGCGCCAATAGCGATCTGGCGTCGAGGTCGGGAACCCCCCGTCTCTAAGGATGGGGAGGGACTGATCTCTGGGCCCGACAGAGGGGTGACCGATCGGTGGTTCTCCTTCGGGGAGATGAGTCAACACGGTTTGGTTCACGGGTCGATGTCGGGAGTCTCTGGTCGGCTAAGTTGGTTGCCGAGGTCGGTCGGGCCCGTGCGACGAGTGTCGACGCTATGATGTTGAGCAGCATCTCTCTGTCTCCAAGCTGGTTGGCGGCTCGCCTTTATACATTGGATGGCAACTCCCGGGTCGGAACGCTCGTGGCTCGAGGGTGGTCGCTTTCCTGCAAGAATGACCTTCGCCTGGTGATTCTCGGCTTTGGCCCCTCCGACGAGCAAGTCAGTAGTTGTTTTTCTCTTTTTTTGTCCTCTCTCCTGGCCAGACACCGGCCAAGGGCTTTTATACTACTGTAAGAGGGTCGGTCGTACACGGGTTTGGCGTGGTGGCCAATTCTCGAGGGATGAGACGGTACCTTTGTGCGGCCGTCGTCTCGGGACGCGCGGAACGACGCCAGACGGCACCGTCCCGAGCTTCCGGGACGGGACATACCAAACAATGCCTTGGTACGGATTCTGACTTGGCGCGTAGGGGTGCGCCCCTTGCTGACTCGGCTGTATCGCGGCGTGGCATCGATTGTGACGTGTCTTGGACCCAAAATATGCCTTATCACTAGTAATGGATATACACCATGTTTCAGGTTTTGGTTGATTCCCCAGCTTCCTGTATCTTGAGCAACAGTAACTCTTTTGAATTGCCCCTTGCTGGAGACTTTCTTACCTGTTTTCAAAAAGTTCTGGTGTCGCTGATAGCTCGTATGAGCTTAAACAGCAACAAAATAAGATATCTTTACTTCTGAAATTGTCTTGTAGACTGTCAAGGCAATATTGGTTCAATGTGGGGTTTGGTGATCAGGTTTAGGCCTGTGGTGGATTTCAAGATTCTACTGGCCATTCATGAAGCCTCTTGGCATGTTTTGCAGCACGCACAAATTAAAAGCTCGAAGAAGATGATGATATTATCTATTTATGTTTGTATATTTGTAAGGTAGAATAACATTAACGATAAGATACTTATTTTTCCTTTGCTAGATCCTATTTGGTTCGTTTACTCATGAATCAACTATATAGGTAATCAATCATAGCTACCTTTCAGCGGCATCTGCATAGTTATTATGTGATTACACCCCAAATAGTTGGGAAATACTGTCAGATTGAGAGCAAAGGTTCAGATCACTGCCACGCTAGTTAGTTATGAGTGCAGGAGCAGAGAATGGTAGCACTAAAATGAAGTGCAGGATTAGGCCTTTACACAGAAACATCTTCTATTTGCTAGTGTTTATGTTTGCTTATCGCACTATCTTTTTCACTTGATCTACATTGAATCTTCAGATTGGCTTTTCTGCAATATGAATATACTAAGATCCAGTCAACATGTACATTTTACTCTGCAGGCTATAAAATCACAACAGCGAACTGAACGAGATGCTGCTATGGTGCGGTTGGTACAGAGTCGCAGCATTCTTGGTAGGAGATTGGCTGAACACCAGGGAAAGAAGTACATAGTCATTGAAATGGCATAGGTAAGAATTTGGAAGATCATGAAGGGAACAGGCCTAGTATGTAAATACGGATGCTCGTATCGAGCTTCACCATAGCCAAAAGGTCATTCAGGTCGATGAGGATACACTGTTTCAGAAAATGCTGCTGCATTTGCCGTAAGTGTGCTTGCTCTTCTGCAGCTTGATCAAGATGCTTTTACGTTGTAGGAAGAGAAATGAAAGAACTTTTTCTTGGTCGTGACGATTCTTCTAGGAGCAGCCGGTTGAAGCATCTCGATGTTCTATCGGCAAGGGGTTGATCTTTCTAACTGATGCTTGGACAGTTTGTTTGAAATGGTTAGGAAGATAGTTTTACCAAATAATTTTGAGTAAATTTCCCAAAAATATTTATCCCCCTTCACAATTTGAAATTTTGCCCAAAAAGTACTTTTGAAGTGGTCATGACTAGTTTGTCTGTACATAAATACAGTCTGAGTGGTTGCTTACGACAAGTAGTTTGTGCTACTTTGGATTACTATGGATGTATGAGGTTAAATTACAATCCTGAAATAGATCTGTATGCTTGTCAGTTTCCTTTTCAGGGTTCAGTAATCCCTTGTGTTTCTTAGACTCAAGAAAATAGTTACCAGTTAATGGGATTTCTCTCAAGTTCTTCTTGGAGCCTTGTTCATTTTCTTCAGTATTCTACAGTGGAGACTATGCTAGTGTTGTACGGCTATTGGTGGGCCAAGTTTAATTAGGCCCAAGCCGACTCGAATCGACTCGACGAACCTCGAATGGTGTTCTGGCAGCTGGGCCTCACAAAATCGCCAAAAAGGAAAAAGCCCAATCCAAGGTTGGACATCTGCTTAATGTTGACTTGTGGGAAGTCTGATGGCTACACGGACAGAATCTAAGCGGGTCCAATGTCAGATCCAACAACTAGCCACTGTCAGATTAGAATGCTCTCACTTGGCCTTGTGCACCAACTCCCCTTCTGTGATATAAAGAATACTGAGGGAGAGAGAGGCTCGATGGGTACGAAGCGTAGAAGGCTTCCACTGTGATGATGCGCTGAGGAGCTCAGTTCCTGGCAACTCCTTTAACCAGTGCAGTAAAAGCCTGACTCCGGGGAATTTTTAAGTGTTCTCATTGGTCCTGAACATTAATTACTCTTTGCTTGGACTTCCAGATCCAAATTGCCGATTGAATGTTAGATATCAAGAAACTTAGATGGCAAGAAGGATGTGTCGCTGCATATGTTACACATGCAGATTAAATGTGTGGTTCTATAGCAAAGGCTCTAATTATGTGCTATGGCAGCGGCTTAAATGAAATCGGTACTGCGGTGGTTTGATCTGCTGGTCCTTCAAGCTGACATGTTGTGGCACGTATATCGAGGTTGATGGAGGAATCTAGTGATTCAGACAAGAAACGGCGCTTGGGATATATGGCGGCACATAAAACCATGCCCAGAGACTCGGCGTAAGTTGATGATGATGATGACGATGATGAGGGCCTTGTGCTCCTCTTCTTCACCTGAAACCGAGGGGTAGGTGAAACCCTTTCGGCTCATCTCGCCATCTTCTTCCTTACCAAACCTTCAAGAGAGAGAGAGAGAGAGAGAGTTTTGGAAGAAGGGCTTCGATGGAGACTGGTTCTTCCTGCATGGATCACGTGTGGGTTGAGACAACGACGGTGTGATAGATAGACAGATAGATTTGAAGGTCAGGTCGCTATCAGATCGGATCCATCTAGGATCCAAGTCCGATAGGCTTCCATGATTGGCTCCATGTCAAGCTTCAAGGTGTGGAAGAATACATGGATACTGTCACACTGGATCAGGCTGTGACTCATTTTTGAGTTCTTTGATGCATGGCAGGTTGAGCACCCCAAAGCTAAACCTATCACCTAACAGTCTATCTCAAAAGACTCAGACCTCCACAAGTAGCTCCTTAGATTAGCCTCCCGTGGAGCCAATCTTATCCCTGTCTTACCCCAAACATACTCGTAGCGGTATATCAGAGAGAGAGAGAGAGAGAGAGAGAGAGTAGCTCACCATCAGCAACAAAGGAAAGGCTGCGGTGTCTGGGTGTTCGCCCTTTACACCTGCTGCTTGAATCTGCACATAGTAGGAGGACATGCAAGAACCCAGTAATCTATCTTGAATCCGGAAGTGTAAATAGATGGGGATGCATGGTGGGGAGGAAGGCGACAAACCGAAGAAAAGATCAGGGCACTTTGGCTTTGGACTCTGCTGCTTGTTCTTCTGTCCAAAGAAAGGGTTTGGGGGGCAGCTAGCTCAGCCATCAGGGATTCAAGCATGGCAGCCCTACAATGGTAGGGTGGCAGTGTCAGCCACAGGAGTCAAAGTTGAAATGGCATTACTACTGCGCCAGCTCTTTTTATCCTGTCTTTTAGTCTATGTTTAGAGTCTCTTAAGCTTTAAAGTAAGAGATCTCGAACTCCACATTACTAGTTCCATGTAGATTCCTTGTGGTGTATGACCAAGAACAGTCCAAATAGCATACAGGACCAACATGAACTTTTTCCATGCGGTCGCTACCTGTTTTCTTCTTTAAATCTAATCCATGTTTGTCTTCACATCAGTAGAAGCTTGCATCTGCACTTGCATGCCTGTTTGACTCTCAAGTAGCATCAAACTGCCTTGATATGTAGGAAGACATGGAGCTTCTGTAGTTTACTATAACAGCAATCAACTTTGACTCTCTCAGTCAGCTGCCAACTATCCACTTCAACATTTTAGATTAGAGAACTTGCTTCAGTGGCTTGAATGAAAACTCCATCATGTTATCTCTCACTCTTCCTTTTTACCCCTTTTGTCACAGAAGAAGAAGAAGAAGAAGGAGAGACAAGTAATTCATTGCTATATCCATTCAATCATTTAATCTCTAATAGCATCTTTTCTTTAGTGTTCATCATTGTCTCTAATGCAGAGCTTGTTGCCTTGTAGATTTCTGTCACTTGTTGGTACCAATGGCCATGCTCTAATGGAAGGACAACACAAATAGGGTCCAAAGGACCACAAATGTGTCCATGGTCCCCAAGTTCGTCATACAGTTCATGCTTTCAACGAGACCAGCATGTGTGTTGATTATGAAGAACAAACAGTGTCCCAAACCTTGTTTTGATGTAAAATTTAATGTGTTTTATAATTGCTAATGGACAAATCAATCACAACAAAGACCAGCTATCTAAAAAAAAATGGAGTTATTATTGCAAATGGACTCGCATTGATTGGGTGGCCTAAATGATTTGTCTGTTTTCATTGACATAGATACAAGTGATCATGTGGTAGAAGCAATGTTGTCGAGCATCGGTGACAGACAAAGTAAATTTCTTTGTATACCACAAGTTGTAATGGACATCTCAATCAAAACAAAAAAGAACGGTTAGTTGATTGATGACAATCAACAACAGATCCTACAAGGCTGTAATGGCTATGAACAGATCAATCTGCGCTGAAACCAAACACTTCAGCTTTAGCAGAGTAGTGAAAGTAGTAGAAATGCTGGTGAATGCATATGAGCATCCTTTCAAGTCCAATCTGGAGAATGCCAAGTTACTGAATACTCTAATACATCTGCCACAAAAAAAAGGAGAGAATACTGTTCAAAGTTTTAGCAATTCCAAGCTGTCTGGAGCAAACAATTGCTTCAACTTAGTCTAATGATTCTTATTTTTGACTCTTCTGCTGGACGGTATCTTTCAAGGAGTATGCACTCATCATTTAGCAACATTCAGAGACAGTTATCCTGCCATGCTTCCTCCGGTCAACCAGCATGGCTACTTCTTTTGGGAACACAAGGACGTTTTTACCTCACCCAAGCTGCTCAAATGATTCAGGTTTGGAGCCTGAGCTGTCGAAAACCATGGTCTTCTCATCCTTAACCAAGACACATGTGATGTTCCTGATAGAAAGAAGTGCAAGTCACAGAAGCAGGACAAGCTTCAGCCTGAGAATGGCATCATCTCATGATTAGTGTGTGGCATGAAAAGGTTTTGCACAGTGAGCCAGCCACTGACACAGCTATGCATGCTCAACAATAACCCATCACACTCCTTGGAGAATGCCAGCATCCTCTATTTTGTATTGCTACTCCAAACCACTCAGCCAGTGGAGAAGGGGAACCACCATGGCTGTCTACTGCCGGAATGGAAGCTTCATCATGGCACTGAAGCAGTGAGGTCCGTTCTATGTCACATAACTCGACTTCAATCAGTCAAAAGGTCATCAAAAGCCAGGATGTCCCAATGATCAGAAAACTCCAAACATGGATCTCACACAAAAAGTCCCATTGCTTTCCACTTGATTCCCAAGCAACAGTTCCATGGAGTAGACCTCACGCTTCGTTTTCTTCCTTGCTTCTCGTAGACTTGTTCATGACAGAAACAAGTCCATCTATGATGAGCACCACAGGAGTAGAAATAGATGCGACACACCAATCCAAGAAAACAAAAGACAATAGAGAAGAGAACATGTCATGCTTGTGCTTTTGCATATTCTTTTCTTTATGATCTCGATTATCTATTTCTTACATCGACTTAAAATCCTGTACTACCTTCTTTTGATGTAGAATGCTAATAATATATATATATAATATATATATATATATATATATATATATAACAGTCCCGAGCTCTAATCTCATTCTGAGGGACCCACTGAGTCGGCGTAACCTGCCAGAAGGCGGTCCGGCCCGAGTCACAGCGGAAAATAACCGCACGCGATATATCGCTCGCATCTGAAACTGCCACGTGTCCAAAGTCGTTATGATCAAAGGACCACACGCTCAAACTTCTTCTTAATTATTATTTTACACTAATTAAAATAAAGGGGAAAAAAAATCCAAGAAAAGTTCGACGAGTCCGTTCCGACGCCGTTTAGGACGGAGATAGTTTTGGACCGTTAGAGATATAAAAGAAAAAGAGTAGAGCGACAAAATCGGCCGATGAATCGGCGTCCGGCGACGGAAGCGTCTCCGAAGACTCGCGCTTAGATGGCGGGGAGGGGTTCGATCGGGAACAGGTCGCCGATGCCCTCGAAAAACTCGTCCGCCCCTTGCCACGTCGACGTCGATGCGTGGAGGTCGACGTCGTCGAGCCCCGAGCCGAGAAGGAAGGCGTCGCTCACGTCCTCCGCTAGGTAGCCGATTGGGGAAGGGTCGTCGTCGAAGAAGCCGAGCACGCCGTCGAAAAGCGACTCCTCGTCGTCCAGGGGAAGAAACCCGCCGAGCTGTACCGATGGGCTGGTCGCGCCGCCAATCTCGTCGCCAACCGTCGCCGGGGGTTTCGGCTTCTCCGCCGAGTCGGTGGGCTTGGCGAAGGAGGATGATAGCCCGCGGAGGACGGAGGTCGGGGAGGAGAGGTTGTGTGACTCCTCGGCGGACTCGTATCCGCCAGATACGGAGGTGAGGTTGTTGTCGGACAGGTTCCTCTTCGGTGGAGGAGGAGGAGGAGTCATGCGGGTCGTGGCGGCGGCGGCGGTCGCAGTGGGGCGGGCGAAGTTGGTGGTGGCGTCGGGACCGCGGAGCTGGATGGCGGCGGAGTCGTAGACCTTGGCGGCCTCCTCGGCGGTGTTGAACGTGCCGAGCCACACTCGGACTCGCCGAAAGGGGTCGCGAATCTCCGCCGCGTACTTCCCCCACGGCCTCCGCCGGACGCCCCGGAACCTCTGCACGCTCCCATCGCCACTCGCGGCCGCGAACGGGCCGCCCTTGCGCTTCTTGACGGCTCCGCCGCCCTTGGCGGCCTTGCTCTTCCCCGCCTCCGCCACGGCCTGGGCTCCGCCGCGGTCGGGGCGCGCCTCGAACCGTACCTCCTGGACGTACCGCCGCACGCGGCGGCGGGAGTGGCAGCACTCACTTTCGTCGCCGGAGGAGTCAGTGGCGTCATAGTCGTCGCAGAAGACGCGCACCGTGCGCGGCCGCGCCGACAGGGGTTTCGTCGTCACCACGACGTGCTCCGTCCGCTTCACGGGCACCAGGAACGTAGCGTCCATCAGATTCATTCCTCAAACTCTATCCTATTCGCATTTGCTCTCCTTCCCTGCACCCAACGCAACAACATGAATCCAACCAACTGTAAAAACCTTCAAGAGAGAGCCGAAACGAAACCAGATATGGCAGAAACGCATCCCTCCATATCCATATCCACATCCACCAGCAGATAAAACAGAGTCAAAGCGGATAAGCGGCGTTCTGCCAATAACAACACACCACCAAATGTTCGCGGATTCTAATCCAAGAACACTTGGGAGTCGAAAGGAGACAGATTTCAAGTAGAAAGCTCGAGAGGACAACAGAACAGCATCTACCTCGCCAAGGTGAAAGAAACTCCAGCAAGCGAGCACAGAGTACTTGAATCCCAGAGCCGCAGGAGCAAGGACAGAGGGTTCTAGTCTTGAGAAACCTCTGCTCTCCGTAGAACAACACAACAGCACATAAGAGGACGGGAAAGAAGAGAGCGCGAGCGACAGCAGCAAAACAAGAACAGAGAGCAGCAGAAAAGTTAAGAGAGCGGAGAGTCCCACCCACGGGAGAGATGAGAGGAGATGCTTTTGATTGAGAGTGATGTTATGAGGCTTTTGGACCGCGGAGAGGCAGAGGAGGAGGAGGAGGAGGAGGCGGAGTCGCAGTTTTATAGGATCCGTAAAAGGAGCCGAACACGGAAGCTCGGCACCCGAGTCGAGGATTCCTTTTCCTTTTTTCTTACTTTTTCTATTTTAATTCCCCTTTTTCCCCCACAAAATTTGCTAATTACAACAAAAATCAAAATTAATCTCTTCCCCTTCCGTCAGCGGCCACATCATCCCAAGCCGACCGATGAGACGTGGGTCCCGATGCCTCAACCAATAGGAGACCTAACCGGACGCTGACTCGGACGTAGGCAATGACGCGGCTCCACCGGATCCCGAATGTGTAGAGAGACGCACCGAAACAACCAAACACCGGTGCGACGCGAGGCGACGCCTTAAATTATAGTTACCGCCGGTTGGCACCCATCCCCGCACCGCACACCGCTCTGAATCCGTTAAATTATCTTTCGCGCTCCTCCTCGGTATCCCGCCCTGGTGGTCGTCTCACCGACGTGTGCAACGCACCCAACCCCGTTCTCACTTAAAATTCAAATACTTCGTTTCTCTCCGGAGGGCTTCTTGGTAACTTCAAAAGTCATTTCTTTTTCCTTCGAATCAAGTATTAGATCTCTACCCCTCCAAAATATCGTCAAAAATTTAAATAATAGCCACATCACTCATGAATTAAAAATAATTTCTTTACGATTTTAGAGTGATAAATATGAAACATATTAATTAAGAGGATATATATGTACGTAACATCGAATTTACTAAATTTCTAGGGACGTATATGCAAATTTTGCAATCACGGCGGTGATTGGACCGCCGAAGACCCAGAGCAGATCTAGGCCGTCCGTTACGAGGCCATCTCCTTGGGATCCACCGCAGAAACGGATCACGATGCGACCCACGCAGCTGCCGCCTCGGCCGTGGACGTGTGTTCGGATGCACAGAGAGAAGACCGGCTTGACGAACTCTAAAGCGCCTCCACCTCTGGTTTCAGCGTCCCAGCGAGTGAGGTGAAAGGAACGGGACGAACGAGGAAGAGAACATTCCCCCTCGCTCATCTCTTTCCTTTCTTGCGATGCTTCGAGACGACGCGTGCAACAAAAGGAGTCGACTCCACTTTGTTTTCTGTTCCCTTCACCCTCGTTCTGTGACTGCTGTTACATCTATCATGTCTTTTAAGCCTCAAAATTGTCATTATTTCGTAATCTAATCGTGCTACAAGTGTTATTATGTATATCCGAGGCATAAACTGTGTGTTCATTGGTGCAACATAGCACTATGGAGGTATGTATGTGCGTGCTCGAGAAGGTGACGGAGTACATGAAGCCAAAGCGAGGAAGCCGAGGAAGAAAGCGAGACTGTGGGAGAGAGAGAGGTTAACTATGGGACAAAAAGGAGTGGGAGTTGGTCCGATCCCACACACCAGTGGCCATGTTTTGTGGCCGAAGCAGCTCTTATTTCTACTAGGGCAAGTCCCCATGTACAAAGAGCATAAGAAACCAATGGAGCATCCAACTCCTACATCTTCTTCTTCTTCTTCTTCAACCAAGATGTCCTGTTTTGTATTGCACCAAACACTGAAAATATTGTTTGAAACACATAAGTTAACATGGACAAAGCTTCGTAATGTATCTTATATTTTTATTATTGGTAATCCAATTCGAAATTTTGATTGTTAAAATTAGCCTCATAATTCATTGAGCATTGGTTGGTCGCACACATTAGAAAAAAGTATTTTTTTTCTTCCTTAATTGAAATAATAATAATAATATCTTGAATGGTGTATTGCAGTGTGGTGTCTAGAAATGAAACTTAAAAGTAGGTCAAATCCTACTTCTAAGTTTTGGGAGCTTAAAACAATTAATTGATTGATTAATTAATGTTGTTGTATTGAATAGTAAGAACGGATAATATATGCATCGGAAATGGCAAATATGTATGAGAAAAGGGACAGAATTAAGTAACCAGCACTCACGTGCTAGAGGACGTGGATTCGAGTCAGCGGCACGTGCCACTCGTTCGCTGCACGTATTATAGTTTTGGCACATCTCCTCCATTTACGTGAGGCATGAATACAATCGTATTCTGTACGTACACAGACAGAGTACGTGGCCGAGGCTGGTCTGTGCATATATATGATTATTAGGGCATACCACAGAGAGTTAAGTATAGGAATCGCTGACCGAACAATTGGCCACGACGTCACCATTACGGTACGTCACATGAGAATATACTCGTCCAGAATGTTATTGTGCTACTCTACTCCCCAAGGAATACAAAGTCAAAGCTAACGGTCAATTATTACCGTTAGGTCAACTCTGCAATACAAAGTTGGAGCGATATGAAGGTGATGGGGAGGTCAATATATATATATATATATATATATTATATTTATTTATTTATTTGTATAGTTAAAAATTAATTTTTGTTAAGCAAAGGGTAAGTGATATGGTAGAATTCGAGCTTAGCACCTTATAATAAATTGTCAAGATTTTTATAAATTTAGTTAGTAATTTTTAACATTTGATAAGAAGGGTTATCATATCACTATGTGTAAAAATATATCAGATGATGTTTTAAGCTCTCAACCTTTGATAAGTTAGTCTCATACGATACAATAAAATATATCGAATAAGATTTTAAATTCTTAATATTTGATAAATCGATTTAGTACATCATCTTCAAACAAATATTTTAGATGTTAAGTTGTATCCATTGAGATTTCGAACCCTCAATATTTGGTAATAGAGTCTAATACACCACAAACATCGAACGAGTGTTTAGAATGTAAAATATATCAGATAAGATTTTGAGCCTTCAACCTTTGATAAGGATACTTTAGATTTCAAGCTTTCAATCTTTGGTAAGAGGGTGTTTATAGAGATTTAGAATCCTAGACCAGTATTTAAGATGTATAATTAAAAGATGGATTCAACCAATAAATCCGCATGACAAAGGCAAAAAGATCTCCATATGAAACGTTGGATGAGATAAAAAAATCAACCAAATAGAAGCAATGCAGAGTCCGAGATGGTATCTTCACTTTGCTACTCGGGAAACGCAACCCATGTCCGAGAGAGAAAGGATTTCATCCCAAGGCATGGTCAACCAAGTTAAACAAAGGGGGTGGGGGACGGGGTGCAATGAAATGTGAGGCACGTGTGCATGCACTCCTCTTTCATCTCCCTCGCGCCCTCCAGGAAGGCTCCATGTTCTTGAGCTCCAAGGCATTCCTTCTTTCCCGGTGAAAGGCTACCCAAAAAGCAAGAGGCTGAGGCAGTCCACATGCGGATCCCCTTCTTCTTGTCTTCGGCACAAGACAAGTGCTACAGCTCCCAGTATGCACCAGAAGTGAACTCTTTTTCTTCCGTAAAGTGATGCAGCAGGTCCGGTTTTTAGGGTTTGAGGTCGTCCACTCGTGTGCACGAACCCTCTTCTTCTTCCCTGGAAATCTTTAGGTGGGTTTGAGTTCATGCACCGTAAAAAATTGCAGGCACATGAGCTGCACAGTTGAGCTATTTAAAATGCACTTGGAGTGACCCTTCCAAGCGTATTATAATCCTGACATTGGTCTGCTTGCTTTGAATACTTAACGTGTTTGCAGGTCAGTATGTATCTGAGTAGCAAAATGATCACATTGTAGGTCATGTTTCAATCCTATGCACGCATGCTGTTTCTCAGAATCTTCAGATGTTACCTGGAACATAATATCCAGCGGCAGCGATGCATCATCGACAGGGAAATAAATGTAAGCATAAAAACTGTTATATGCTATTATGGAATAATATTTTATGTTAAGATCGTAATCAAATAACATTATATTTGGTTTTATAATGCGTATTTTTGATATCATCTAAAAGGGATCTACGTGTGATTTGCAAAGACACTATTTTTAGATCAAAAACCAATGTGAATTTGTAAGGAGAACTAGACTATTCTTCTCCCCTCTTCTTATCCTTTTACAGAATCGTTTAGATTGATAGTTCAGGAAGATTGAAAGAGAAATTATAATTCAACTTTGTCCTCTATGTGATGTATAATATATGTCTTTCAGTCCCTAGAAGTCATGTCTATTTATAGGCGAGAGCATAGAGTCTAGAATAAGTTATTATGAGAGTTCCTCCCATCAAGGACATCTCCTAAGGAATCATATTATAATGGGCCACATAATCGAATATTCTTCCACTTGGCCCATTAATTGATAAGATATAAAATATATTCAAAATAAATAAAATAAAATTTATTTAAAAATAATTTTAACTAATTGGATTCCAAAGAATTTTGAAAAAATATTTTATACATGACCATAAATTTTAAAAACAAGCCAATAAGTCTAATAAACATAATAATACGATATTAAGTCCAACTATCGATGCGAGTCATAGCGGTTGTATATTATCAATGTCATACTTCCTTTTATATATCACAACATTATTAGTCTTTCCTAATATAGTCCAAGATGACCCATGTAATTTGTATTGTCAATACAATCCTATTATTACATTCAATTATAATATGCATAAACATAAATGTAAATGGGATAACAAAAATAAATAACTTTAAATATGCATCCACCTAAATATGCATCACCATATCTTTTATGGCTTGCTCACAAGCTCCATTCTAAGAACATGTTCTTTAAATATTTTACACTATAAAATTTTAGTAAATTGATCAGCAATCATCATATAAGCGCTCAGGTTCTCAATTGACACTTGTTATTTCTAGACTCTTTCTCTAACCACCAAGTATTTTATCTCAATGTGCTTTGGACCACTAGAGTACTTGTCATTCTTAGAGAAAAAAACTACTATGGTGTTATCACAAAATATCTTCAGCGACCTGGCAATTAAGTCAACCACACCAAGTTCCGAGATGAAATTTTACAACTATAAAGCTTGATTTGTGGCTTCAAAGCATGTCACAAATTCAGCCTTCATTATTGATGATGCAATAAATGCTTACTTTGCACTTTTTCAAAAAGTTACCCCACTAGCTAACATGAATACAA